CTCCAGCTGCTGCGCCTCCTGCTGCTGCGGCGGCCCCAGCTGCGGCTGCTGCAGCTACTCCTGCTGCTGCTGCTGCTCCTCCAGCCGCTGCAACTCTCTCTCCTCTCTCTCCTCTCTCTCCAACTCCAGCTGCTCCTCACGGGCACGGCGAACACGAGCCTGGTGCCGGGTCGGGTAGGGGTGGGGGGGAGGAGTAGTGTCGGGGGCTGCGGCAGTCCCGGGACCGCCCTCCAAAGCACCTGGCGCACCACCCCCAGAGTCAGCACCACCAACAGCAACACGACCAAGCTCACAAGGACCCGAAGAGGGTGCACCCGCATCTCCAGACGTAGCACCCCCAAAGTCAGCAGGACCAACACCAGCTCCAGGAAGACAAGAGTCTCCTGCAACCACGGGCTCAGCTCCAACTCCAGCACCCCCAAAGCTAGCACCTGTAGGGCCCTCTCCATGAGCACCGGCTCCTGCAGGGTCTGCAGCAGGCTGCGAGGAGGACTGCGGGGAAGGAGGCTGCACCTGAGGGGCTACCGAGGGGGGAGGGGTAGCCTGGGACACACCTGACGGGGCTGGACCAGGGGGGGGAGGCTGTACCAGGGAGCAGGAGGGGGAGCGGAAGTCAGGAAGAGAGGGGGAGGAGGAACCGGGAGACCTCGACTGGGGTACCTGACGTAGTAGGGGGTGGACTCCTCGAAACGGACGTCACGGGAGTCAAAGAATCGGTGAGAGGGAGGGTGGCAAAAGGTGAAGTCAGCGGAGTCCTCAAGGAAACCAAGGAAGACACAGGGAACGACGCGAGGTGAGAGCTTGTCCACGGAAGTGTCGCGGATAAGAGCCAAGCAACCCGAGACACGAAACCTCGACGCAACACCAGGGGACCCGGTCCAAAGACTGGTCGATGAAGCCTCTGGCCGAGAGACATGTGGCCAGAGGTTCAGCTGGTGAGCGGCGTACCTAACCGCGTAGGGCCACAGAAAATGGGGGGCACGGGCGTGAGTCAAGGAGGTGCGGGCGATCTCCATGACCAAGCCTATGCGACGCTCAGCAACCCCATTCTGCTGTGGGGACTCTGGAAGCGTCCAGGACTGACGAATGTCCTGCTCGCGACAGAATCCAGCGAGAATGCCGGAGCGAAACTCACCCCCACGGTCAGAGTGAAGACAGCTGACACGACGACCATGAGTGCCCTCAGTGGTAAGCAACCACCTGATCAGCGTAGAAGTCACCTCAGACTTCTTCACCAGGGGGAATATTGTGGTGTAGCGGGAGTAGTCGTCAACGACCACCAGAAAGAAACGCTCGCGCTCAGGGCCAAGGCGAGGGGCGGGGCCCCAGACGTCCAAGTGGAGCATCTCAAAAGGCTCGGTGGCCGGACGAAGGGAGGAGGAGTGAGGGGTGGCGCGCAGCCGACCCTCGACGCAGGGACCGCACGGCGGTGCAAGCGAAAGCGGCAGCGACGGCAAGACACGCGGGAGGCCTAAGACAAGACGCTGAGGAGACATAGCGCGCAGACGAGGGAGGGACGGGTGCCCCGTCCGGTGGTGCCACAGAATGGTGGGGTGTGCAAGCGACCGGCAGGAGCACGATGCAGCAACTGGGCCAGACACGGGAACCTGACCAGAAATAGCTACCTGGGGGGACGCAGCAACTTGGTGAAACGCAGGGAGCAGACTGGGGGATGTAACCGGGGCCGGGGGCAGGAGTTGCTGCTGCTGCTGCTGCCCACCAGGGCCAGTGTGAAGTGTGTAGAGACCAGAGCCTGGCTCGGCAGTAAAGGTGGCAAGAGGCGAGTAAGTGTCGCCGTCAATAAAAACCGCCATTTCAGCAGAGGGCTCAATCCACACACCCACGTGCTGACTCACAAGAGGCCTCACGCCCACCAAGTTCCTCGAGAACGAAGGGACGTGGAAGCCAGTCAGAGACCCAGAGGGGAACAGCAGGGCAAGGAAGAGTAGTAGTGTAGCGAGCAGTGACTGGTCCCGAGGTAGGATCAGCCAGGGCCACAGAGACTGGCGCAGGAAGTGGAGTAAGTGTCGTGTGGTCGCGAAAGAAGCAGTGCGAAGCCCTAGAGTCCAGAGTGAAAGACAGCGAAGCGTCCTTCGAAAAAGCGCCTGGACTAGTGTCTACACAAGTGCCTACACCAGCAACAGGCAACGCAGCAAGACTAGCACCTATGCTAACAACACTCGAGTAAACAGAGTCAGAAGCAGTAGAGTCAACAATAGCATACATAGCATGAGGATTTCCTAAGAGATCAAGCAACTGAGAAGCAGACATGCTCCAAAGAGCGGAGCCGTACGTCTGAACAAGAGGAAACCAGTCAGGGGCAGGGCCGCCAACGCCAAAGGCCAAGCGAACCGTGTCAGTGAGCTGAGCAAAGCACTGACCAGGAGGGTGGGTGCGGCCACAAGGCTGGCCTCGGCGAGCACCTGTCAGAACCTGATAGGTGCACAAAGGGTGAACAACACCTCGCTGGGGCTGACGCTGTCCCGGCCCCGAAACCTGCTGCTGCCGCTGCTGCTGCGGGGGCTGCTGCAAGGGGAGGGGCTGATGCTGCTGCACCTGCTGCTACCGCTGGGCCAGGTACCACGCCGCTGCTCCACCCACCGCGGCCGGCAGACCAGGAGGAGGCTGACGAGTCCGGGTGTCGCCTCCACTAGCTGCAGTAGGGGAGTCACTGGCCGCTGCACGAGACGCCTCTCCAGGCCCTGTGCTCCCGCCGCCACCGGTCGGCACGCCACCCCCACCATCTCCGCCGCCAACGCCGCCACCGCCGCCGCCGCCTGCACCCTGACCGCCCCTCCTGCCACCCCTACCTCGCGACCGCGACGTTGTCGTAACAGCAGCTGCGGTCACGTCAGTAGTGGCAGTGGCTAGCGAGGCAGTAAAAGTGGGCAGCTGAGGGACAGTGCACCCGTGAAACGGTGGAGGGGGCACATCACCAGAGGCGGAGGCTACTGAGCGGAGGTTGCTCTTGACGTCCTTGAGCGTAGACTCAAGGACCTCGATAGTGAGCTCACTAGGGTGCTTCAGAAGAAGCGTGTCACGAACCGAGGCAAGGCGGTCAGGGAGGCTAGTGGCAATGAAGTAGATAGTAATCGCCATGGGAGGGGGAAGCAGTGCAAGCTGTGCGTCAGTGCAAGCAGCGCGGTAGCTAGAACCGAGTGAGCGGAGGTGAGCAATCAAGTCAGCAGAGCGCTCAAACGAGGCGAGGTCAGGGAACAAGAACGGTAGGAAGAGGTGGCCAAGAGAGACAGTGGTGGGAGTAGCGTAGCGGGCCTTGATCGCAGTCAGGAACTCACTAGCAGTGCGAACCTGAGTGAAGTGGGCCTCCTCGGACTCAGGGAGGAGGCTGCTAAGAGCGATGCGGGCCGCAGCGTCACACGGCTTCCACGCCATCAGGTCAGCACGCTGGCGGGTAAAGCGGTCTCTGGCGGCGTCGTCAGGGGCAGGGCCTAAAGGCATAGGGTCGTCGGGCGCAGGAAGGTCACCAGTAGCGTGCGCCTAGAGAGACTCGTCCGCCTGGACCTGACTCTCTAAAAGGCGACGCGCGCGTAGGAGTCAGACCGGAAACTCGAGCGGTCAACCGTCAGCGTCAAAACGAAGAACCCTAGGGGTCGCCATAGCAAAAGCAAAGTGGTGGGAAGTGCTGCTGCTGAAACCCTAATCACTGAGAGCGACTCAGTAGGGCGCTACGGGACATAGGGTAGGGTGCTACGGGACACAGAGTAGGGCGCAACACTGCTGGACTAGGAGGGCGCAGCGCTACGGGCAGGGTTAGCGCGACACGACGCAGCGGGACAGGACGGGTAGCGCGACGCGACGCGACGGGACGGAACGGACTGCGCGACGCGGACGGGCAGCGCGACGCGACGCGAAGGGACGGGACAGACTGCGCGACGCGGACGGGCAGCGCGACGCGGACGAACGGGACGGGACGGACGGGCAGCGCGACGCGGACGGACGGGACGGGACGGACGGCGCGACGCGGACAGGCAGCGCGACGCGGACGGACGGGACGGGACTGAAGGCGCGACGCGGACGGGCAGTGTGACGCGGACGGACGGGACGGGACGGACGGCGCGACGCGGACGGACAGCGCGACGCGGCGGGACAGTTGGAGCGACGTAACGGCAGGCGCAGCGGGCGCTAGGGCACGAGAGCGACGTAACGGCAGGCGCAGCGGGCGCTGGGGCACGAGAGCGACGTAACGGCAGGCGCAGCAGGCGCTAGGGCACGAGAGCGACGTAACGGCAGTCGCGATAGGCGCTAGGGGACAGTACGAGCGTAACGGACACTAGGGTACGGGACAGGCTCGGGCGCTACGGACGTGAACGAGAGGAACGAGATCCCACAGGATCCTAACCTAGGTGATACCATGTCAAGAATGAAAGTGTTGGTTCATTGATGTGGGTTGGGGTACATATAACTAACCCTAACATCTGTACCCCCTAAGACAAACCTCACTACATGCTACAACATTTGACACCACTATAGCCTATACACAACTAGCACATATATGGTTTGACAACGTCCTGATCCAATGGCTCGTGGGAATCAACCGAATGACAAAACGACAGTGGCTCACATCACAACCGGCAAGTAGCGCATTGATGAACTAGAATTCACAGTGGCATGTGGCGGGAATGTCAAAGTACCGGTAAGCTCTTCACATGCTTGGCAATAACAATACACGAAGCGAGCCCTAGAGACTCCATGCCAAGAAGGTGGATGAGGCCCGGCATGACATGGCATGCTGTGCTGCTCATGTGTGCTCAAAAGCATGTTATCATGACAGAGTCAGATAGGTCAAGTGCAGGAAATATGGAAGTGGCACCAGGCTACAACAGGATGGTCTTACATACGGTACAGCAATGGCAAGACGCGAAGCGAGTCCGGTCCGGGGGACTGTATAGCAGCATCTAACATACGACGGGCACGCACACCCTACAGCAGGCTCTTCACATATTTGGCAATGGCAAGACACGAGGTGAGTCCGGGAGACTCTATGCCGAGAAGGTGGATGAGGCCTGGCATGCCATGTGTAGCGTGAGTCTGCTGGGCATGATTGACAAGGGTACAAGGCGAATGACATGGATAAGGAGAGGCAGAATCTTGACGGCATTGGGAAATAACAAGCGAGAAGGAGGATAAGGCCTGGCATGGGCCTGATCTGTTACTCTAGGCGGCACACTCGCAATAGGAGGGTACAGGCTGACACATCACGGGTGGTAGCACATTCCGAGTAGTTAGTAGTCGAATCTAGAATGAATGACAAGATAAGTGAGAAAAACGTTGACGCATCGCCCATTCCACCACACATCTCACCACCCAGTCTCACCTGAATGAAGAAGTCAGCAGCAGGTTCCCCAGAAGCAGTGAGTTTGGGTCGAATGCCCGCATAGTCCGCATGTAGAGAGCCGCCCTGCAGTGCCTCTAGACCTTGAGTCAGCTCAGAGGTCTTCCTTAGTCACACAAGGCACAGGGCACACAACTGCCCATCTCACCGCCCAGTCACACCTGAATCTAGGAGTCAGCAGCAGGGTCCCCTGGGCCAGTGATTTTGGGTCGAATGCCCGCATAGTCGGCATGTAGAGAGCCGGGCTGCAGTGCCTCTAGAGTCGACCATCATCTCTCCACCCGATCTCACCTGAATCAAGAAGTCAGCAGCGGGTTCCCCCGGGCCGGTGAGTTTGGGTCGAATGCCCGCATAGTCCGCATGCAGAGAGCCGGGCTGCAGTGTCGGGAAGTACTTGCAGATCGCCGAGTAGAACGACTCGGCCCTTGCAGGGTCCACTGAGTAGTCGTAGCTGGCGTGGGGAGGAGTGGGGAGAAGTTGAGGGGGGTTGGGGGGAGTGGTGAGGGGTGAGGAGGCATGCAGAGTGTTATATTGCAGTGTCGGGAAGTACCTGCGGATCGCCGTGTAGAATGATTCGGCCCTTTGGGGGTCCACTGAGTAGTCGTAGCTGGCGTGGGGAGGAGATGAGGGCGGTTGGGGGGAGTGGTGAGGGGTGAAGAGGAATGCAGAGAGGAAGCCTCCAGTGAAGGGAAGTATTTGCGGATCGCGGAGTAGAATGATTCATCCCTTTCAGCGTGTGCTGAGTCGACTCAAAAATCGACTCAGCACACGCGGAGTAGAATGATTCATCCCTTTCAGCGTGTGCTGAGTCGACTCAAAAATTGACTCATCACACGCGGAGTAGACTGATTCATCCCTTTCAGGTCCAATGAGTAGTCGTAGCTGGCGTGCGAGTTTGGGTGAGGGGTGGAGAGTTTGGGGCAGATGCGAGCCTAGTGAGTGTGCAGACAGTGTGCAGACATCCCCCTTCCAGTGAAGGTCAGTACTCGCAAATCACCAAGTAAAAGGCCGTGGCGTGAGGGGCAGAGAACGGCACCGAGTGCAACCACTGCACGTCGGGGCCGAACCGCACCCACCGGCCAGGCCCACCATGGCATGCACGCCCAAGCAGGCCCCTTGGCTCTTGAGTCCGCTAAAGACCGGCCCGATAATACCGGTTAATAATAATAAGCCGACTCAGATAATGAGTGTCTTGAACTAGAAGCACACCTGATGGGCATGCCATGGGCAGCAGAGAGTGGCACCGCGTGCAACCACTGCACGTCGGGGCCGAACCGCACTCGACCGGCGAGGTCCACGGTGGCATGCACGCCCAGGCCCCCCGGCTCCGGCAGCGGGTACACGAGGCGGGAGAAGGGTGGTGGGCCAGAATGGGCGAAGTAATGCCCTCGGGCGAGGTAGAGAGGAGGGAGGCGGAGGGGTGGCAGTTGCGGTTTGATGGGAGCCTCTGTGAGGTGGGTGCGGTGAGCGAGAGGAACAGCCTCGAGCCCAGCTGCGTTCACTAAATAGCGCGAGCACAGCAACGTGGTTGTGGTGATGGTGGTGGTGGTGCTGCTGCTGCTGGTGATGGTGGTAGTAGTGGCAGTGCTGCTGCTGCTGGTAGGCGAGGATGTTCGGATGGTGGTGAGGAGTGGGAAGCGGTCGGCTGGGTTGGCCTGAATGCCCACTGCGGCTGAGTTGAAAGCGAATACAGCACCTGCTGCTTCTGCCTCTGCCTGCGCTGTTGGTGCCGCAGAGAAAGAAACACATGGAGAGGCGGAGAGAAAAAGGGGGGAGGGAGGGGAATAAGTGTGAGGGAGGGACGTTGGAAGTGAGAATGCACGACAGGTGGGGGCAATAAGAGAAGAGAATGCTCGCTCTTATCATACCCTTATGAGAAGTGTTTTGAGACGTCTCAAAACACTTCTTCAAACACGGGACGATAAGAGAAGAGAATGCTCGCTCTTATCATATTCTTATGAGAAGAGTCGGTTGCGCGTCACAAGTCGTCCCATCACCCGGAGAGCGAGCATGAGAGCATGTGAGTCCATGATGCCTGTGTGGGATGAGAGCAGCGCAGCATGGCACTTCACTCGAGGCTCCATTCCCTCACCCCAGCTGAACACTGTTTCAGGTGTCCCTAGAGTCATCTCATCACTACTGAACGTGCCTGCAGAGTCGTCTCATCACCTGAAGGGCGAGCATCAGTGCGTGTGAGTTCACGATGCCAGTGTGCGGCGACAGCAGCGCAGCCTGGCACTCCACTCGTGGCTCCACCCGGCTTGCCTCCTCCCTGCCCACCATTTGAAGCCCCTCCACCCCGTTGCCCTCCGCGTGAGTCTGGCGGGACGGCGATAGAGAGGCAAGCAATGGGAGGCAATGGTAGGCAATGGTATGCAATGGGACCTTTCAGAGAGTCCTGAGTTGAGATTAACAAGCCTCCTCCCCGCCCACCATCCGAAGCCCCTCCACCCCGTTTCCCTCCACGCGCGGGTCTGGCGGGACGGCGAGATGAAGGTGAGAGGTGGGAGAGCTTAAGGAGAAGAGGAAACGGTGAGTCCGAAAAACGGGCATTGGGGGTTAGAGAACAGGGAGGAGAGGGTGAAGGTTGCAGCATGAAGGGATGAGCATGGGGGCATACAGCATGGGGGCATACAGCATGGGGGCATACAGCATGGTGGCATACAGCATGGGGGCATGGGGGCATACAGCATGGGGGTGGGGGCATGGGGGCATGGGGGCACGGCAGAGCAGTTGAACTCGCCTTAAGCTTCTCCAGTTGCCGCACTTGGTCTGCTGACGTGGCAACCACCAGCTTGCCGACCCTGCGGTGTGGCACCCCCCTGTCCTCACAGAAAGCATACAGCTGCCGCCGCCCCTCCACACACAGCCGTGCCTGCCACGTCAGCAGAGGATGGAAGCAGAGGTAGGAGCATGATCCACGTTAAGCGAGACACGAGTAAGTATCATCCACGTTAAGCGAGACACGAGTAAGTATCATCCACGTTAAGCGAGACACGAGTAAGTATCATCCACGTTAAGCGAGACACGAGTAAGTATCATCCACGTTAAGCGAGACACGAGTAAGTATCATCCACGTTAAGCGAGACACGAGTAAGTATCATCCACGTTAAGCGAGACAAGCGAGACACGAGTAAGTATCATCCACGTTAAGCGAGACAAGCGAGACACGAGTAAGTATCATCCACGTTAAGCGAGACAAGCGAGACACGAGTACGTATCATCCACGTTAAGCGAGACAAGCGAGACACGAGTAAGTATCATCCACGTTAAGCGAGACAAGCGAGACACGAGTAAGTATCATCCACGTTAAGCGAGACAAGCGAGACACATGAGTCTTGTGGGCTTCTCATTCCTCCTGACCGAGCAAGTATCATCCTAAGAGAGGCGTACCTTGAGCGGCCCGTGAGGGTAGTACAGCCCCGTGTGAACCACTCGGCTGTTGCGTGAGCTGATGCCGCCGCTCGTTCCCCCGTCTATGTGTGTGGAGTATGAGCCTTTACCTTAAGCGAGAGAGTATCATCTCGTCACCCCATCATCAACCTAAGAGAGGCATACCTTGAGCGACCCATGTGGGTAATATAGCCCCGCATGAATCACTTCGCTGTTGCGCGAGCTGATACCGCCCCCCACTCCGCTCCCCGCCTCCACCACCACCACCTCCCGCCCCGCCACTGCCAGCGCGCGCGCCACCGCCAGCCCCACCACGCCCGCGCCCACCACCACACACTCCGCCTGCTCCCTCTCCCGCGCTTCGAAATCCACGGGTGGCGACATAGCCAGCCCTGCAACGGCCTCGCCAGGGGCTGTTCCCCCGCTTCTCTCCCCTCCAAGCCCCACCATCCCCCCGCCCACCACCACACACTCCGCCTGCTCCCTCGCCTGCGCCTCAAAATCCGCCACCACACCCGGCAATGGCATGTAACTGCCAGTCTCCGCTCCCCCGCCCCTTTCCTTTTCCCGCTGCACCACGCCCGCGCCCACCAACACACACTCCGCCTGCTCCCTCGGGGCGTCACCCGCATCCCCCGCGGCTGCTGCGCGCGGAGAACTGTAAAGCGCGCGGCATGCTGCGTGGAAGGGCAAGGGTAGCGGCGCGTGTTGCGCGTGCGGGTGACTCGCGCAAGGGCTAATGTGCGCGCGGAGAAGTTTTGTGAGGCAATAACGGGGAAACGCGCGAGCGCATGACATAGTGGGCGACATGCTGCTGAAATTCAGGCGAGTCGCGCGTGCGAGGCGACTGACCTGTGCGACTGAATGCGTCGCATGCGACGGCCCTGCGACGCCTAGGAGTTGCGAGCCATTGTGTTGCGTTTAGGATGACGGTGTTCTGCTCGCAAAAGTGGAGATAACCCGAACACAGATTTCGCTCGAGCGGTAATTTGTTACAGAGAGTTGCCTACAGATTATGTGTATACTACTACAAAAGCAGCAGAAGCAATGCTCCAAGGAAAAGAGCTGTTTCAAGGTAAAAGAGCACTTCAGGACATAAATTCTAGCCAACTCGATTTCCTACCGGTCCTCTCCTCTACCCCTTAAAACCAGGGTGCACATTCAATTGGATTTCTGTCAAAGGTTAACCTTTGACCTCGGGGTTACTCAGTGATTTAGGAATATCTGGGGGGAGTGTTCGCTTCAGCAGGTGAACATTTGAACCCTCGAGATTTGGCAAATGTAAACCGAAGTCATCGAATGTGCTTCCGCCAATTCGTTTCCCCCCTCCCCATACCTATTCCGCTCCCACCGAAATTGTTTCCCCTTCCCCCACAATATCGTCTCACCCCCTTTCCCCTTTCCGCCAACCCAGTTGCCCTCCCCTTGATCCCCAATTTCTAGATCCTAGTGTTATCAATTTCTCCCCTGCCAAGCCTCATCTCTCACGGACGAAAAGCCCCATGCTCGCCCATTCTCAACTATTTATTCGCTACTCGTCAACCAATCAGCAGTTCCCGCAAACATGCCGCCCAAAATTTAGCCTGGAGTCGCGTTGAATGTGTACCCTGGTTTTAACACCACTGCCCTCTCCACCCACACGTCTCTGACTTACAACCAGCCCCTAATGTCATACAGCCAACCAACGCCTTCCTCCCGAACATTGAACCACAACTGGTATACACGGAACCCAGGGCCTCAGTTATCAGGATAATTTATCCTGATTCTCCTGAATTCAGGATAGGTGTCGTGTGCTAGTCCTGGAAAAACAGCATAACAGGAATAATTGTCCTGTAATTTCAGTATAACATTATTCTGCGTACTGGAAACTCAGGATAAGGCTGTAGGTTCAGCCCTGATGAGTCAGGATAGTGTCGAGTCTCGCTCTGAAGCGAGATGTACTGTAGGTAAAATCTCCTGGGTTTCGGGCCTAAAATATCTATGTGCGAGGAACTCGAACATAGGAGCCAGCGTGAATCGAGCACAAGACCTTGCATCACGCATTGCCGCTTTACCCGCTACCACACTTCACCTATCACGAAGTGAAGCACTAAGATTACAATATATGGCCAAATGTAGCACTGTCATTTCAGCATACCTCACCCTGTGCAGCCCTGACAATTCAGGGCAAATTCTGATTTCCTAAAAACTGCCCTGAGGCCTCAGTGTACCCCCAAACGAATCTGAGGCCCTGACGGAACCGCTAGCACAATTCTATTTACAACAGATTGTGTATCAAGAAAAAAAAGCAAGGAGAACACACCAACTTGACAGTAATTTTGTTCTGGGCAACAACACTGCTCCACCCACCCACCCAGTTGTTGACTCATATCCTGCATCCCTGCTACATGCTACAACATCCGATGCGCCGGTGCTGCTACAGCCGATGCTACACCTCTGGCACTGCACTCACTCCCTTTGATGCTGCGGCTGCACTCCCACCCTCTGCTGTCTCACCACTGCCGTTGGCTGTTGCTGGGCTGCAGGGACTAGTACAGACAGTGCTGCTGCTACGGCCGGTGCTGCTACATTTGGTGCTGCTATGGCCGGTGTAGCTGCTACAGACACTGCGGCTACAGCCGGTGCTACACCTCTGGCGCTGCATTCACTCCGTCGGATGCTGCTGCTGCACTCCCACCCACCTCCACCTCACCAATGCCATTGCTGGATTGCATCCCTCCCAGCACCAAAGCAGGCCCAGGGGGAACATCAATCACTGATGCTGTAGCCGCAGGAGGAGCCATTACAGACGGTGCAGCAGCCTCTACTGCAGCACATGCTGCTTGGGCAGCCGAAGGCACACCGAGAGCAGGCGGCAGAGGGAGAGGAACAGGAGCAGACGTGGGAGCAGCAGCAGCAGGAGCAACATCAGCAGCAGAAGATGTTGGTAATACAGATGCACCAAACCCTGCAAGACCAGCCGCAGCGGCAGCGGCAGCAGCATCTGCCGCACCAGTGGTACCATCAGCAGCAAGGGAATCAGCAGCGGGGGCGTCAGCAGGGGAGGAGGCGGAAGCGCCGCCCCAGTAGTTGGGTGCTCTAGCAGCAGGCCACTGGCGGATGGCTGTGGCTGCTTCTGGCAGCACCGGCTTCAGAAGTGCTGGTGGCCTCCACCCCCCTCCACCTGATGCGCCCCCTGATGGTCCACCTGATGGGACACCTGATGGGACACCTGATGGGACACCTGATGAGCCACCTGAGATACCCACTGTTGCTCCCACTTCTGTCTCCACGGCTGCACCCCCTGATGCTTCTCCACTGGGAGAATTGGAGAACATTCCAGAGGCAGCGGCTGCGGCTGCTGAGTCAGCAGCAGCAGCTGATGATGACGTGGCAGGCGGGCGGCGGGACCAGGGAGCCTCATCCACAGAGCCGTTACCAGCACCACCACTCACACCAGCATAGCCCATCCCTCCGTTATAGTCACCCCCGTTAGTAGCCCCATAAGCTGAACCCATGGCACCCTGGTTGTAAGCAGACGGGTGCCCAAACTGCTGCTGCTGCTGCTGCTGCTGCTGCTGCTGGTATGGCTGGTTGGTTTGGTAAGGCTGCTTGGCTTGGTACGACTGGTTGCTCGTGTATGGGGCACTGGTTTGGTACGGCTGGCTGGCTGTGTAAGGCTGACTAGGTCCGTAAGGGTATGGCTGGTTGGGTGGGTAGGCCGGGTTAGCAGAGCTCATGCCAGCAGACTGTGGCCTGCTTGCTTGACCCCCCGCTGGGAACCCTCCTCCTGCTGCTCGTGTTCCTACTCCTGCTGCTGCTCCTGCTGCTCCTCTTGCTGGCACTGCTGCTGCTGGTGAGGTGGTGCCGGGTCCCTGCTGTGCTGCTCCAGACTCCCAAGGCTACTTCACGGGATGAAAGGCGGAGGAGACCGGAAGACCAAGGGAAACACGGGGAGAAGGGGAACCGGATGGGAGAAAGGAATGGGAAACGAGAAGGTCAGAGTGGCCTTCGTTGAGTAGCATCAACAAGGGTAAGGCACAGGGAGACCGGGGGGAATAAGGGAAAACAGGGGGAGAAGGGGGGCCGGATGGGAAAAAAGAATGGGAAACACGGGAAGGTCAGAGTGGCCTTCGTTGAGCAGCGTCAACAAGGGTAAGGCACGGGGAGAGGGTGTGACAGGGCAAGAGGAGAAGTGGCATGACACGCAAAAGAGGAAAGGGCCTGAGAGAGGGCAAGGGGAGGCATTCCCGAGAGGCATGAGCGAATAAGGAGAAGGTTAGGTGGCTTCTCCGGCCAGGCAGGCAGCAAGGCAGCATACCTTGAGAGGGCGCGTCAGGCGGGAGTCCGACGGACGGGGGCCGCTCGGGATTGGCCTGAAAGTCGAATCAAAAGCCCTCTACGAGTTGGCACGCCGACATACCTTGAGAGGGCGAGTCAGGCGGGAGTCAGACGGGGGCTGCTCGGGATTGGAGGGCTTGTCGTTGATGTCCTAGGGGATGGGAATAAGATTGGGGATGGGGATGGGTGGTCGGGTGGGGCGGGGCAAGGGGCACAATGGCAGGCAGTTGCTAAGGAGTATTCTGAGGCGCCGCAAGATACACATCGATGGTCAGGATTGGGGGGCTTGTCGTTGATGTCCTGCGGGATGGGAATAAGGATGGGGGTGATTTTTCAGTCGACTAAAAAATCGTCTCATCTTACGCGGTTTGTACGGGGGGCTTGCCATTGATGTCCTGAGGGATGGAAATAAGGAAGGGATGGGGATGGGGGGTCGGTACACACATGGTGGGGGGGGTGTGGACGGGTTACAGTGTAGCAGGGTTCAAGGAAAGGGAGGAAACGGGTGCAGGAATGTGAGGGATTTTAGAAATGTGTGGAAGGGTGGAGTGGTTGGGTGAATGCATGGCATTGGCTCGACGTGGTTGAGTGAAGTGCAGCTGAGGCATTACGGCACTACGGGGCACAGGCGGATTGTATGGGGGGATAAGGCGAACACGTGAGTGTGGACATGCTAAATTATGTGCTGATAAATGAATCAATAGGAGAAATGAACAGAACTATGATTCTAGTCATGCCCATTGCCCAAATCTAGAATGGTATTAGAACAAGCCTGAATCGAAATGGTTTGAGAGGCAACGCGTCGTGCAAAATGTCTGGCTAAGAGTTGAGGCGAGAAGGCACCTTGATTCCTGGTGGCGTTTCTCCCCGCTTCACCATTTCCATCACCTGCGCATTAGACATCAGACGAATGGGTCGAAGTATATTTCTAAAGACGGACTCAAAAACTTTCTCCCCGCTTCACCATTTCCATCACCTGCGCATTAGACACCCAGCCCGTATCAAGGAACCATCACACAGAGCAGGGCATCAGTATCAGCAGATATAGGGGAAGAGAACACATGTAAGGGTGAACAAGGAAGTGGTCATTGCGCATTATGATAAGTCCTTGGTCTGAAGAGAAGCAGTCTTTACCTCATAAAATGACTTGGGATGGAGAGGGCCGTTAGATGCCCCTGCACCAGATGAACCTACACCTGGCGCACCAGGCGCACCAGGAGGGGCAGTGCTACTGCCGACGCCCAGAGCAGAAGAGGCTGAAGAGGGCGAGGGGGCACTCGACGGCCGCCACGGCTGGGCAGAGTAGGGCTGGGGGGAGTAGGACTGAGCCAAATAGGACTGGGTGTATGGGGCGTCGCTGCTGTGCTGCTGGGTGGGCTGGCGAGATGCCACGGCTGAAAGGGGGTAGGAAAGCGGGTGGGTATGGGGAGATGGAGAGACGGATTTAGCTGAAAGGAACCTAGTCAAGAGAAAGAATACACGTAGGGGAGAGGAAACAAGGATGAGGGCAGGAGCCTGTGTGTGGAAGGGGAGGCGAAATGGAAGTGAAACAGGCAGAGGAGGCCCAGCGGGAGAGCAGGGGAGAGGGGGGAAGATGAGGAAGGGGTGCGAGGCGGTGGGAATCAGAAAAAGCACCAAGTACACATGCGTGGACGGATGGCAGCCAGATGGACTTAACTCACCAGAGCGCATGTCCGATCCCGCAGCAGCGATGCCAGCCGCTGCTGCTCCCACAACACCGGCACCAGGAGCACCATCAGCACCAGCAGAACGACTTTTGAGACGTCTCAAAAGTAGCCAGCCAGATGGACTCACCAGAGCGCATGTCTGAGCCCGCAGCAGCAATGCCAGCCGCTGCTGCTCCCACAACACCGGCACCAGGAGCACCAGCAGAGCCAGCAGCGTTGGCGGCCTTGAGCTGCTGCACCTCTGCAGTCATGGCTTCTAATGCCCGTAACAGTGCTGCCTGTGACTCATCCTTGCTGCCTCGCTCCCTCCTGCTTCCCCTCCTCCCTTTCCTCCCTCCACTGCGCCTTCCTTTCCCCCTCCTACCCTTCCCCCTCTCCTCCTCACTCTCTGAATCCCCTGTCTCTGACTCACTGCTGCTGCTAGAGCTGCTGCTGCTGTCACTGCTCCTCTCCTCCTCTGCCTCTACCTCCTCCTTCCCATCCTCCTGTTCTTCCTCCGGCTTGTCTGGGTCTGTACCCTGCCCTCGTCGCCTGCTCGCCTTCTTCCCCTTGCTGATCTTTTTCGCTGCCTGCTTGTCTCGGCGCTTGCCTACTTGCACATAGAAAGACGAACACACATGCAGACAGGCCACGCACAGCAACACCCACACACACACACACACACACATGGAAGCGTGGAATTGGATTATCAAGTGTGCCCGGAGAAACGAAAGGGTGAGAAAAAAGAGTGAAGCGAGAGGCGGTGGCTACAACAAGCACACACAACACAGCAACAACAGACAGAGCAACATGTAGCAAGCGTGTAGTGAGCCGATTTTTGAGTCGACTCACTACACACAGACAGAGCAACGTGTAGCAAGCGTGTTGAGGCGCGTCAGAAGCAGAACCCACGAAAACAACAGAGCAAAGCGTGGCAAGAAGCAGCCATGTGAAGCCCTGCCTGCCTGCCACGTGCTGGCTGGTGCAACGCGAAGTGTGGCAAGTGTACCTTTCTTGGACGACTCCTGTGCTGCAGTTTCCTGAAGCCAGGTCTTGAGGCGCGGGAGCACGAGTCGCTGCTCAGCACACAAAGAGGGAGACACCAAAGACTCGTTTTTTTAGTCGACTCAAAAAACCAAGAGGGAGATACCAATGGAATGGATAAAAAAAAAAAAAAACAGAAATTCAGTTCAGAAGTCTCAACTCAAAACAGGCCTGGAGGAGGAGACGCTGCATGGAAGGCAGGGGGGCAGAGAGATAGCAATGATGATGATGATGATGATGATGATGATGATGATGATGATGATGATGATGATGATGGCGGTGGCACCGGAGACAGATGCATGATGAGACACACACAGGGCGGGTGAGGTGAGGTTCGGGACGAAGACGATGGGGACGAGAGAAAAGGGGAAATTTGGAACGAGAGAGGGAGTTGTGGAGAACATAACACAAGGGAATGCGAAGAGAAAGAGAGGGAGCAGGGGGGGGGGGGGAGGGGGGAAGGAGAGGGGGGTCCAACACAATGGACGGAAACGAGAGCACGTGAGAACTCGGATAGGGAATGAAAATGTTCAGACTATTCACCTTTGCAACGGCAGCTGTTCCGGCAGTGCCCGCCCCCACAACAGCCAGAGCCACTGCCAGCTTGGACCATGAAAACGCCTGCTGCGCCTGTGCCTGCTGCTGCGGACCAGGAGCAACAGCAGCAGCAGGAGGAGGGGGAGCGGCAGCGGCAGGTGGCTCTGCAGCAGCAGCGGTGGTGGCAGCAGGGGTCTTGCGAGCAGCAGGCAGGGGCTGGGAAGACGAGCCCACCTCCACGTCCTCTGACCCTGTTGAGGGGTCCTGGTGTGGTGGGGACAAGGGGGAATAAAAGACGGGGTGGAAGGGGTGCAAGGGGGGAAGAGGAGGAGGGGGGGGTTGAGGCGCCTCATAACCTAACCTCCACGTCCTTTGATTCTGTTGAGGGATACTGGTGAGGGGGCAGCAGGAGCACCGAGGGGGGCAGTGGGCACGACGCATTGGCAATGAAGTGGAACCAGAAAAGCCCTCACTCGTGCACATGTTCCAAATGGCGAAACTTCCAGGAAAAACTTATTCCCACCCACCCACTGCCGTTCTCCCCACCCCACCATCGCCCTCCTCCACCTACCACCTTTCATCTACGTCCACCCACCCTTCTCCCCCCTCTCCCACCCAAGAAGAACTAAGCAAAGTAACTCACAGGGCAGTGTCTAAAGGCTTCATCAATCTCCTCAGCTGACATGCCCTTGCGCTCCAGAAAGGCTCGGCGGAACCGAACCGGGGAGCTCCGGACCTTAGGGTTGGAGAGGAAGCTCACGGCCTGCCGAACCATGTCCTCCCGAACCGGCTGCTTCGGGACGAAAGGCTCGGAAAAGCTGGCAGGGCTGCTTCCTGGTGCGGCAGCAGACTCATACGGCTTTGGAGGAGGCCTGGGGATGCTGTCTGGCGCGGTGGGAGCAGCAGCTGTGGCTGTTGGTGCTGCTGGGGCTTGAGATGCCATGGCAGGCGGTGCTGGTGGAGCTGCTGGGTTGGAGCGAGGAAAGAAAACATCGGGGGGAAAGGGAGTGAGTGGGGGCAAGGGGGGGGGGGGGGGGGGATGAAGAGGAGGAGGTTGGGTTGGGTGGGGGGAGGACATAATGAGCTGAGCAGCGTGGATGAATGATGTAGAGCGAACGCGCGGTGTACAGAGCGGCTGTTACCTGCGGATGTGATTTCTGGGTCACCGCAAAAACTACCAGAGGCTGTTACCTGCAGAGGCTGTTACCTGCAGAGGCTGTGTCTACTGGCCTTGGCGGCATCGCCCCCGGTCCTGTAGAGCTGGCGTTGCCTTCGCCCTCCATGGGAAAGACTCAGAGTGAATATTGTGGAGTGGATTCGGCAATCCGATTGAATCGGTGAAGGACTGGCACACGGTCAAGTGGGAAGGCTTGTCACTCCGGCAGGGACAAGGCGGCTGCAACAGTGCCTGAATTGGAAGACGTGATAAGCGATAACAAGAATTCAGGACGAATGGTGATGGAGATAAGGATGACAGGAGCAGAGAGCATCAGGATTGGATGTGCTCGATTTTCTCTTGCAGACACTCCTGTCGTTTCCCCCTAAATAGACTGCAGTGCACTTTCTGAGGCATGTTGTGTAACGTTGTTGAAGCACTACCTGATTCTTCGGTACTAAATTAACATTAATGTACACTGTTTCCGCAAAAACGTCCCGCAACAAGTAAAATCGGAAGGGAACGGACGAAAAACAAAACAGCCGGATTGGAGCTCGAAACGTTGATAACAGAACATAGCTGAAAAGGTAATGGGTAGCTTAGATTGGACAGGTTACCTCATACAAAATAGCCAGCTTTGGTTGATGCAAACCCACATGCAGAAGCTTAGCCTCACCTCACCTTTCTAACCCGAAAACCTAAGAAGCACGATAGCGCTGGTCCTCTTGTGATGGAGCAGGCGCTACAGAGCGAAGGATGGACCGGAAGCGGGCTTGAAAAAAGGACATGGGAGCGGGAGCGGGCTTGACGGAAGGATTTTGAGCTTTGGAAAGTAGTGGAGGGTGGCTGACACATGTGGCAATGGAGTTGGTGGAACCCTACACAACCGTGAATTATCTGGACTTAACTTTGATAAATGTTTTTGCGTGGGCCAAAATCGGAAACCCAATTGACTATATTTTCCAGTGGACGCAAAGTTGAGTTGATGAGCCGATATTAATAATGAAGAATTCTGGCTCGATATCATGTAAAGCTGTATATACCATTTTTTTGGCAGTTAAATTTCTGTAATTATCCTTGTGAGAAGCCCCATTTCAGTTGCTGCTGCCATTTTTGCTTGCAGGTAAATATGCACCACAAGTCTGCATGAGTTGGATGTGTCAGGCTTGTACCGAAAACGAGTCTACTCGTTGCTGTGCTGGAACGGATAAGCGCTGTACCATCCTTGCCTGTGTCTTCCTACGAGCTGGGAAGCTTGCCGAAGCTTGCACTATGCCGTAGCCGTGAAAGTGGGGGCTGAGGCTTCTCATCGAATGCGGTTGATGCGGAGTCGGCGACCTCCTGGGGGCTGAATGGCCGAGTTCATCTGAGATCGTGACAGCGCCAACTGAGACCCGAGAGGCTCGACCCGCGGCTACAAATGCGTTGAAAGTCCGACCGCATTAAGGGTGGGTACGAGGATCCCTACGCCCATTCTCTTCGCACGGGTTTCGTTGTTCACATTGTATCGCGCCTTAAGTGGTCTTCACTGCAATGGCTTCCATTTAAACATGCAACTTGGCGGCTTCTATAGAGTCACTGGTGCGTCCATAACGTGACCCATTCAGCGCTCGAAGCCTCCTAAAAGAATGGCCGGGTCGGCGAAAGGGCATCACTATCTCATGCCACCTCTGTATTTTCTTCATGAGGTGGCTTAGTCACCCCTCGACAATCAGCTTCTTACATTCCTCTTGCTGCTCTGGTCCTGCTCGTTTAATTGCACTAACGACATTTATAACTATTGTTCGTTTAATTCCCTTGATACGATTTCCGACTATCCGACGCACCCTTTCAGATCCGGCTTGGCTCCGTGGTTCCGGCTGAAGGATCATGGTGAAGCGTGAAATGCGGCTAAACAGGCCGATCCGAATGCACTTCTCGAACGACTGGCTTTACATAAGGCGCTAAGGTATGTTACCGCGCGTCTCCCACGCTCCTTAGTTTTTGCTTCGCAATTTATAGTACTCGCTGGAAGTAGGGGCCGTGGTCTATCGGACTTAGTTGAATGTTTCTGCATGGCGACTCAATTAGAGTCACTGGTGTGCCTGATTACCGTGGCACATGCAGCGCTCAAGGTCGCCTAGAGCACGGTCAAACGGGGCGGAACTATACCCAGGCACGCAGCTGATCAAGTGGTTGTGCCTTTGTCCCCCTCCCCACATTCTGTCGAATGATCACTGACGGATAATTCGGTTCGTTTCAATAGGTCCCGTGACGGTGGTTTATCAGCTGTTGTGTTTTGCTCTTGTATCTGCAGGTCTCACTGCAGTTGCGCGGTGTGGCAGTTGCGTGTCGTCATCGCGGACGCCCATGCTGGATTTCAGGGATAGCCTCTGCAAATGATGGGATTGCTTTGTAACGAAGGAAAACCTTCTGAATTCATGATGGGGGTGTCTTATAGCGACGGTGCACATTTGCCACCCGAAACCCAAAACCCTGGCGAACTGTTACTGCGGAGGAAAAGTGTCCGCACGAAATCCAGGTTTTCGTTAGCCAACACTTTCGCGCTGGCAAGCCTGGTTCAAAACAAAAAATTCTGAACCCCGGCTTGTCAAATCTAGACCCTCGTTTTATGAATGATGATGTAAGGTATTTTTAATGACGAGCCAAGCGAATCATACAATTTTGGGACCGAAGATGTATTGACGCATTACCTTTTGTAGCATGTGCTCAGTAAAACACGGAAGCAGTGATTTTTTTCCAATTTCTGGACATATCACTAGAGTGTGGGTCAAGCTAGGGGTTCAGACCTTTGTTCACTTTAGGCTGTGGAAAAAGATGGTGTACATCCTAGAGCGGTTTGCCTGCTCTGCCTCTCTGAACCGCCATCCACCTGTCCGAACAGCAATGACGGCAAATGAACTATTGTATGCCTGACCCGCCCTTCGAAGCTCAGACACACTTGAACTAGGAATCTGCAAATTTTTAGGCCATCTATTTACAGTGGTTATATTGCATGCTTGCCATTATCTTGTTGAACTGACATGGCAGACATTGTGGAAGGAAACTCGTCTTCAGCCCTGATTGGCTCCCCGTAAGCACCATCAGTCTTCGACAGAAAATCTGTAATGACTGGGTACACTTCCTCTGGTGCCTGGAATATGGAAAAACATATGGCACAGCACAGCAGTGATTGTCAATAGTGTGAATGGTGAAACTCTTCAGTACAGAGTCACAGGGTTTGGTCATCTTGCTTAGATGCTGCTCATACCATGCTATGCTATGTTAGTCACATGGCATGCCTGCTCACATGACATACCACCTCACATGTCACGATTGCTCAACTGTCACAACCACTCACATAGCACGAACACTCACGTGTCATACCCACTCACATAGCACGAGTACTCACATGTTTGCCCACTAGCATGTCGTAGTGTCCGTAGCGACGGTTGTCCGACCCTCCAAACAACCGGTACTCAACGTTGGAAGATGGGATGGCCTTCAGAGTTTCTGTAGGCCACACACCACGTTCATCGGAAACGGGTCAGAGAGGAGGTGGAGGAGAGTGAGAATCAGCTTTACAAAGGACATACATGGACAACATTTGAGGCGACTCCAAAGGAGAAAATATCGAGAATTTTCACTTTGACAACACGTCTGTGACGATCTTTCAGGCTGACCAAGTGGTAGGAACATGGGAACTACAGTGACTGACCTCGGACGAGCAGAGCTGCAGTGACTGACCAGTGACAAGCAGTGGCGGGCAGACGCCGTCAGCATCACCAGCAAGGGCGAGCACGGGCGTGTAGCAGTCCCTGAGCCCCTTGAGGTACGAGATGGACTAACATTTACTTGTTGCACACTGACCTCTGACAACCAGAGCTGCACGGACTGACCCGTAACAAGGAGGGGTGGGCAGACACCGTCGGAGTCGCCAGCAAGGGCGAGCACGGGCGTGTAGCAGTCCCTCAGCCCCTTGAGATACGAGATTGACCCGCTGCGACTGCGCAGCCCGCCTGGTGTGAAGATGGACTCCATTTGCAGCAGGAGCTTCACGGGGATGGTGCCTGGGGGAATGACACATAGAAGAATGGGGAAATGGGAAGTTGAGTTGTTGCTCATCCGCAGCCTGCCCGGTGTGAAAATAGACTACATCTGCAGCAGGAGCTTCACAAAGATGGTGCCTGGAGGGGAGGGCGAACAGAGACACTGGAAGAATGTGAGTTGAGCTGCTGCAAAAGCAGAAGCTGTTGTAAATGAGCTCGTAAAAGAGCGTTGAGTCCACGATAACCCTGCCTGAGACCTGGTGTACTACCCACTGTGTTGCCCCAATCCATACTACCCCATTCTACGCCATACTATCCCGTGGCTCCTCACCCCCCACTCACAGAAGTTGTGCTGCATGAGCTTTTGAAAGAGCTGAGGGTCCATGGCATCACGGGCTGACACCTGGTGCGCCACCCACGCCAGTGTGAAGGGCGGCTGGGTCATGAGAGGTAGCGCTGCTCGCGCCAGCACTGCCACCGGGATGACTGGGAAGTTGAGCGCCCGCGCAGGGCCAGACTGGGATGGGGAGGAAAGGAAGAGAGGAAAGGCGGGGAGGGAAGGCGGGGAAGGGAGCGAAGCATGGTTATCGTGGTTCCGGTGGTCATGAGGGGCAGTGCTGCTCGCGCCAACACTGCCACCGGGATGACTGGGAAGTTGAGGGCCCGTGCAGGGCCAGACTGGGAAAGGGAGTGGGGTAACAGGGGAGTGGTGAAAGAGTGAGGGGCCGTTAGAGGTATCAGTGGGAGAGCTGATTGCATCAGTTGTGCAACAGGAAATACTCGAAGTCTTACGGTTCAAGCAAGGCAGGTCTGAATGGGGAAAGGAGTAGGGGAGTGACGGCTGGGGAGAACTAAGAATTCAAAGGCCCGTGCATGGCCGGCTTTGGAACTATGAGAGGAAGGTGAGAAACGGGAGAGGCGCAATGAGCTGCGAGAATGAGATCTATAAGGGCTTCTGGAGCGCCTCAGAAATAAGGCTTCTGAGGCGCTTCAGGTGAGGGTTTCTGTGGCGCCTCAGGAGGGAAAGAACAGGTGTGATTGTGAAAAGCAACTTTCTAAAACAAAGGGTTCCCTTGCGGTCTGTGGCCATGCCAGGCAG